TGTTCAGTGACAGAACCCTGTCCCACTTCAGGGAAATCTTAGAGAGATGCCAGAAACAGACCTTTATGGACAGATTTGTTGTGAGACAGGGGTCCAGTGACTCTCAAGCTGGTCCTAGTGGCATTAAAAGACAAAGAAAGGAAGTAACCCAAGAGAAGGCTTTGCTACCTAAAGTCTTTATGGAGGGGGATTCCCCTTCCAAACACTGATTCCTCCCTCTTCTCTATCTTCCAGAAGCCAGCATTAGCCTTCAATAAAGTTATGTAAAACTTAAATAATTGATAAAAATATTTTTTTGTGAATATTTTTGTCTGGAACCGATTAATTATATTTCCATTAATTATTATGGGAAATATTAATTGGGTTTTTGGCCATTTCGGTTAACAGCCAGCCTTCTGGAACGGATTACGACTGATAACCGAGGGTCCACTGTACTTGATCTACACATCCCCTACCCATTCTAAAACCTCCATGTTCATCTGCAGTCCTGGTCTCTGTCTTTCCTCTAACTCTTTCAATAATAATGCTACCATACACTTTACTTGGTATACTCACTAAACTACTACTTCTTTCAACAAACTGGCCATATCCTGCCAAGGCAGGAAAAACAAAAGTTTCTCCTTTTAAATTCAGTAATATATGCAGGAAAAGGGATTACTAGCCCCTCGCTCCTGGCATTTTAGTTACCTCTTATGACACGCATGGCTTATGGAGGAAGAATTCTGTTCCACTTCCCCATGGAGATTCATTAAACTACTTCTCTTTCTTCTTTCAACAAATTGGCTGTTTCCCACTGAGGAAGGGTGGCCCAAAAAGAAAAACAAAAGTTTCTCTTTAACTTTAGTAATGTATACAGAAGGGGTTACTAGCCCCTTGCTCCCAGCATTTTAGTTGACTCATACGACACGCATGGCTTATTGAGGAAGAATTCTGTTCTACTTCCCCATGGAGATAAGAGGAAATAAGAACAAGAACTAGTAAGAAAATAGAAGAAAACCCAGAGGGGTGTGTGTATATATATGTTTGTTATTTTTATATAGCCAGACTTGAGTCCTGGAAATGGGAAGTACAATGCCTGTACTCTAAAGGAGGGGTTTCGGGATATTAGCAGTTTGGAGGGATATGTTGTGTATCTTTATACGTATATGCTTCTAAACTGTTGTGTTCTGAGCACCTCTGCAAAAACAGTGATTATGTGTGAGTGAGGTGAAAGTGTTGAATGATGAAAGTTTTTTCTTTTTGGGGATTTTCTTTCTTTTTGGGTCACCCTGCCTCGGTGGGAGATGGCCAACTTGTTGAAAAAAAAAAATGCATGTGTAGTGTGACCTAAGTGTAAGTACAAGTAACAAGGCATACCTGATATCTTGCATGTTTATGAGACAGAAAAAAGACTCCAGCAATCCTACCATCATATAAAACAATTACAGGCTTTCGTTTTACACTCACTTGGCAGGACGGTAGTACCTCCCTGGCCAGTTGCTGTCTATCAACCTACTACCTTGGACTCAGTAAACTTATTCCCCTATAATTTTTACAATCTTTTGTCACCCTTCCCTATGTATAAAGGAATTATACATGCTTTCTGCCTGTTCCTAGGTACCTTCTCCTCTTTCATACATTTATTGAACAAAAGTACCAACCACTCCAAAACTATATCCCCCCCCTTCCCTGCATTTTTACATTTCTGTCATGATCCCATTAGTTCCAGCTGCTTTACCCACTCTCATTCTACTTAATGCCACACTCACATCTGGCTCTTCTATACTCCTAAAAGATGTTACACCTCCCTGGCCAATGCATGAAATTGCTGCCTCCCTCTCATCATCAACATTTAACAGTTCTTCAAAATATTCCCGCCGTCTTCCCAATACCTCCAACTCCCCATCTACTAACTCCCCTACAGTGGTACCTTGACTTGCAAGTGCCCCAACTTACGAGTTTTCCGAGTTACGAGCTGTTGCTCAGTTGATATTTTGCTTTGAGTTGCGAGCCAAAATCCGAGTTACGAGCTAGCTTCAGATATGCCACCACTCACAGGAGAGAGGAAATATCAAAAACCTTGATAATAACCAATGTGTAACATCCTTTCAAATTTGATACCACTGGTAGTGTCATCCTGCCAAAATGTTCTATAACGTATGCCCTAAGAGAAACAATTCTGGAACGTGTAATACATGTTCGGCAGGCCAGCTGATTGGGTGGCCAGCTGGCTGGCTGGCTGATTTGCCTTGACTCTGTCTATCTCTGTCTTTGTCTGTCTCTGTCTATCTGTCTCTATCTCACAGGTACACATAAATACAGTTATACATAGTGTAAATTACCTAGGATAACCCAAAAAATTCAGACAAAGTGCTTGTAGATATAAGGCATAATAAGCATGACTGGCAAGTAATACATGTACATTTTCACAAATCAGACGTGACTAACTCTGCATCATGTGTAGTACCTGTTGGCTCATGAGCGGCTGTCTCTCTCTGAGACAGAGAGACAAGTGGAGAGACAGGAAGACAGAAACAGACAGAAAGACAGAAACAGACAGAAAGACAGATAAGCAGGGACAGAGATAAACATAAACTGAACTAGACAGACAGGCAGATAAATGGACAGAAGCAGATAGACAGACATGTTTATGTATAACAGTGAAAAATAAAGCCAAGGCAGTGCACGATCATCAAATGTCACTCCACAAGTGATATCTTACACCGTGCTTCAGGGAGTTTAATATATACTCCAACACTTCTAAAACATTGCTGGGACCTGGCAAAAAAGGCAAAAATCATTTCTTATTTATAAATTCATTTTTCTTATTTAAAAAGCTTTAATAAAAAAATTGGGGTGGTTTTTTGGGGGGCTGGAATGGATTAATGGCATTCCAATTTCAATGAGGAAAATTGATTTAATATATGAGCAAATTGAGTTACGAGCTGGGTCACGGAACGAATTAATCTCGTGTCAAAGTACCACTGTATTTTGCTCTTAAATTTCAAATCTATTTGTTCCCTAGGCTTTCTTAACCTGTTTATATTTATTTTGTTAATTGACACATTGGCCTTCTCTCACCAAGACAGGGTGGCCCGAAAAAGAAAAACTTTTATCATTCACTTCATCACTGTCTTGTCATAGGCATGCTTACACTACATTTATGAAACTGCAATGTTAACACCCCTCCTTCAGAGTGCAGACACTGTACTTTCCCTCTCCAGGACTCAAGTTCGGCCTGCTGGTTTCCCTGACTCCTTTCATAAATGTTACCTTGCTCACACTCCAACAGCATGTCAAGTCCTAAAAAATATTTGTCTCCATTCACTCCTGTCTAACACACTCGCACATGCTTGCTGGAAATCCAAGCCCCTAGCACACAAAACCTCCTTTACCCCTCCCTCCAACTGTTCTTAGGCTGACCCTTACCCTGCCTTCCCTCCCTCTCACTCCAAAATTTTTTCTTACTCAGCAAAATTTGTTGACAGCGCCTCACCCACTTTATCATTTGCTCTCCTTTTGCACTCTCTTACCACTCTCTTTACCTCTTTTACTCTCCATATACTCCACCTTTCTTATTTCACTTCTTTGTAAAAACCTCTTATAAGCTAGCTTTTTCTCTTTTATCATACCCTTTACCTCATCATTCCACCAATTACTCTTCTTTCCTCCTGTGCTTACCCTCCTATAGCCACATACTTCTGCTCCACTTTTCAACACTGCCTTTTTAAAACTGTCCCACCCCTCTTCAACCCCTGCACTACCTATACTCTCATTAGCTCACCTTTCTCCCAACAGTTGCTTATATCTAACCCTAACTTCCTCCTCCCTTATTTTATAAACTTCACCTCTCTCTTAGTTTCTGTTGCCATTTTCTTTTGCTCCGTCTACCTCTTACTCTAACTGTAGCTACAACTAAATAATGATCCGCTATATCTGTTGCCTGTCTAAAAACATGCACATCCTGAAGTCTACCAATCAACCTTTTATCCACCAATATATAATTTAACAAACTACTTTCATTATGTGCTATACCATATCTTGTATATTTATTTATCCTCTTTTTCTTAAAATATGTATTATTACCAAACCTCTTTCCATACTTAGTTCAATTAAAGGCTTCCCATTTTCATTTTCCCCTGGCACCCCAAACTTATCTACTACTCCCTTCACAACAGTTTTACCCACTTCAGCATTTAGGTCCCCCACCACAAGTACTCTCTCACTTGGTTCAAGACTCCCCATGCACTAACTCAGTATCTCCCAAAATATCTTTCTCCTCTATGCTTCTCTCTTCTCTTACCCATTTTCACATCCCACCTTTATTTTACTCCATATAATCCTTGAATTTATGTATTTATATTATCTCTCTTTTTCCTGTCATAACTGATCCTTCAGTATTATTGCTAGTTCTTCCTTAGCTCTAACTTTGTTAGAAACCCCAGACCTAATTCCATTCATTTCTCCCCACTGAAACTCTCCTTCCTACCTTCTTTAGCTTTGTGTCACTTAGAGCCAGGACATCCAGCTTCTTTTCCTTCATAACATCCACAATCTTCTCTTCTCTTATCATCTGCACTACATCCATGCACATTCAAACATCCCAACTTAAAGATTTTCTTCTTTTTATGTTCGTAAGCTATAAAGGAAAAGGGGTTACTACCCCATTGCTCCTGGCATTTTAGTTGACTTTTACAACACGCATGGCTTATGGAGGAAAATTCTTATTCCACTTTCTCATGGATATGAAAAGAAAATAATAAGAATAAGAACTATTAAGAAAAACCAAAGAAAATTCAGGTGAATATGTATACATAAATGTGTACATGCATGTGTAGTGTAGCCTAACTGTAGGTAAAAGTAGCAATATATACCTATTATCTTGTGTGTTCATAAGACAGAAGAAAGGCATCAGCATTCCTACCATCATGTAAAACAAATACATAATTATATAAAAAAAATATATATATGTTTTTTTATTTTTTACTTTAACCTGTATAAATACCAGAGTTTTCTTTCAGAACTCTGATGGTGAGAGGGAACGTCCGCACTTCTATGTGTATTGTGTAAAGCCGTGTAACTCAGTGCAAGTGGGTAAACTGCGAGTAAGATGTGTCTCTTGTAAACAAGGGGCTCTTACTCTTCATCGTGATCCTTGTAACTGGCAAGATGTTCTCAACCCAGGCCAGGTTACTACACTTTTCTTTTTTTTATCCAACTTTATTTTAATTTAATTTACAATAATAATTGGTAAATGCTTCACATTTGGCTTTTTGGGTGTTTTATATTAGAATATAATAGTGTAGATAGATTGAATTAGAAGGTATTGACTTTCATTTTATGTGTGAAAGAAGCTTGAACTTTTAGATTTAGGTATGATGGGCAGTTTACCTGGAGTTTACCTGGAGAGAGTTCCGGGGGTCAACGCCCCCGCGGCCCGGTCTGAGACCAGGCCTCCTGGTGGATCAGAGCCTGATCAACCAGGCTGTTGCTGCTGGCTGCACGCAAACCAACATACGAGCCACAGCCCGGCTGATCCGGAACTGACTTTAGGTGCTTGTCCAGTGCCAGCTTGAAGACTGCCAGGGGTCTGTTGGTAATCCCCCTTATGTGTGCTGGGAGGCAGTTGAACAGTCTCGGGCCCCTGACACTTATTGTATGGTCTCTTAACGTGCTAGTGACACCCCTGCTTTTCATTGGGGGGATGGTGCATCGTCTGCCAAGTCTTTTGCTTTCGTAGTGGGTGATTTTCGTGTGCAAGTTCGGTACTAGCCCCTCTAGGATTTTCCAGGTGTATATAATCATGTATCTCTCCCTCCTGCGTTCCAGGGAATACAGGTTTAGGAACCTCAAGCGCTCCCAATAATTGAGGTGTTTTATCTCCGTTATGCGCGCCGTGAAAGTTCTCTGTACATTTTCTAGGTCGGCAATTTCACCTGCCTTGAAAGGTGCTGTTAGTGTGCAGCAATATTCCAGCCTAGATAGGACAAGTGACCTGAAGAGTGTCATCATGGGCTTGGCCTCCCTAGTTTTGAAAGTTCTCATTATCCATCCTGTCATTTTTCTAGCAGATGCGATTGATACAATGTTATGGTCCTTGAAGGTGAGATCCTCCGACATGATCACTCCCAGGTCTTTGACGTTGGTGTGGCACTATTACTGTCATGCTTTTTATAATACAATATTTTGAAAAGTAAAAAACTACTTTATGTGTAGGACTTGGTCAACCACTAGGAATACAGCCTATCAATGTTCTCATTTTTTTTTTGGGGGGGGGGTCTGTTGGACTCCTTTCACTGTTCATTTTCTGTCCCTTGTTTATTTTCTGTGCTTGACTGGGAACTCTCCCCAGTCAATAAGAGATACTGTATTCCACTTGTTCATCAATTAGTTAAGCCCTAATTGATCTTGTTAGAGTACGTAACTATCAAGACCCCCTGGTCTTGGTGAGGATAAAATGTTGCTGGATGATTGTTTAACTGTTAACTGGGAAGGATTCCTGTAATTCTTTGTGAATGGATTACTGTTTCCAGCAGGACTTTTCAGTTAATACAAAGGTATGGGCAAAATAAAAAGCAGAGAATTTATATTGTGGAAATTATGAGGTGTGGAGTTACTAAAAGTATTATTCGGAGGGCTGAAAAAGGGATTGTTGAGGTGGTTTGGTCATTTAGAGAGGAAGCAAAATAGGATGACTTGGAGAGTGTATAAATCTGTGGAGGAGGGGTAGGGGTCATCCTAGAAAAGGATGGAGAGATGGGTTTTGTGTGTTAAGGGCTTGGATATACAGCAGACATGTGAGCAGGTCAGATAGGAGTAAATGGAGACTAATGGTTTTCAGAACTTGATGAGCTGTTGGAGTGTGAGCGGGGTAATACAGTGGTACCTTGAGTTACGAACTTAATTTGTTCCAGAAGGCTGTTTGAGTGCCGATACCGAATGAATTTGTTCCCATAAGGAATAGTGTAAATTAGATTAGTCGGTTTCAGACCCCCCAAAAATACTCTTGAAAAAGCACTTACAAAAATACACTAACATAATTGTTTGAGTTGGGAGCTGTTCAAAACTCAGGTACCACTGTATTTTGTGAAGGGATTCAGGGAAATTAGTTAGTCGAACTTGAGTCCTGGAGGTGGAAGTACAATGCCTGCACTTTAAAGGAGGGGTTTGGGATATTGATGTTTGGGGTGTCATCTGAAATGGTGTATCTGGGTGTCTTTGCAAAGATAGTGATTATGTGTGAATGATGGTGAAAGTGTTTCTTTTTTGGGTCATCCTGCCTCGATGGGAGATGGCTGACGTGTTAAAAAAAAAAATTATGATTACTGGAGACTACTGCACACTTCAAGAGTTTACTTATTGCTTAAGTTCATAAGCTAACATGAAATCAATAGTTTTGTTACACACTGCTACCCATTGAATAATGTCTGACAACCCACTAAGTGTAAGAGGTATAATAGATTGACAAGTTGGAAAATGAACAGAATGAATACTTTAACAAAACATTGTTTTGCTTGGTGACCAAACTTCAAGTCTATAGAGAATACATGGATATATATATGTGGTGTGAGGACCATAGGAAGGGTAGAAAGGACCCAAGCATGTAAACAACTGTAAAGGAAGTCAAGGAGTTTGACAAGCATGAGTGATTTAACAAGCTGGAAATCCCTTTATCCCTGTATGATGTTATTGGTCTTGGCGTCTATGTCTCAACAGTGGCTATTAGAACACAGCTGTGAGTTTACAGTTAATTCTCAGAAGAATATAGGCAGTGGGGAAAATGTTGTTCATATCCTGGATTTTTTGCTGACTGGTTCCTTTGTTGTTAAGAAAGTATCCCTAGGAATAAGAGATTGTCTAGGGTTCTGGACTGTTGGAAACTTCCCTTGAACTGTGTGAAGGTGTGTCTTTTTCCAGTGTTTGTTGGAACAGTGTTGAAAGCATACTATTCATCATAAACTTCTGTTGAAAAGTGTCAGTTTGACTACATTGCAAATGTTCTCAGGTGTATTTCTGTGCATGATTCCACAGAGACTTCTTCCTAATATTCTGGCTGTGTAGAAGATGGTGTCACTGATTTCTGAAGTGAGGTTTTTGGTGTCATGGGTTGTGACCTGTACATCAAAGAACACTGTTCTACTGGAATGACTGAATAATTTGCTCTGTCCACTTATTGATCATGTCATGATCAGTTAGGAATTTTGTTGTATCCTCTGTTTCATAGAACATGTCCTGTGTTTCTTCCAAGTTATTTAACCCTTTCAGGGTCGAGAGGCCCTCTCCTAAATTTGTTCTCAGGGTCGAAAATTTTTCGGAAAAACAAAATTTCTTATGAAATGATAGAGAATCATTTCCCGATCATAATGACACCAAAAGTATGAAATTTGATGGAAAACTTACAGAAATATGCTCTCGCAAAGTTAGCGGTCTCAATGATGTTTACGCATCAGAGATTTCGCCAATTTGAGCCCTCTTTTCGGCCAATTCCAGTGTACTAGTCGACAAAAATCATAACTATTTCGCTAGAACTCCATTTTGTCTATCGAATGAGTACAAGAAACCACCCATTTACTGATTTCAACTATCCAATAAAGTGGTCAGAAATTCACAATTTTGCCAATTTTACACAAATTTCAAAAGATGCCAATTTCCAAATAGGGTTCAGAATAAACAAGACAGACATTCCTGGCACTAAAATAACATTTCCTCTGTTCATTAGTCATGGCCCCAGGCCTCTGTTACATTTCTTTTGCTTTCCACTTTGAATTTGTATTCTCACAAAAAATAGAAGATTTGCTGTTATGCAGGCTACTGCATTAGTGTAGAAATTGTATAATTAATATCAGCGCACTTGTGAAAGAATATTAGACTCACCAGTTGACGTGTATTGGACGCGTGGCAGGATTTGTTTACTTTTGAACTTAGGCAAAAATCGAACATTTCTGCTACTTTGAGCTCAATTTCAAGGTGCTTCTCATTGTGAAACCAATCAAAATCATCTCAATTTCTGTAATATGTCTTCCATTCTATAAAATGAGACCAGGAAAACTAGAATACACCCATAAATACCTTACGAAAATACACTGCAAAGTCGCTGTTTTAAACCAAAAACAGAGTCGGAGTTTTTTTTTTTCTCATTATGCACTGTGTGCTGCAGGATTTTTTTTATACTGTGCACACTGACCACATAGACCCATTCTAGCTTTCGCTAGATTTGAAGGCGTTAGAATTTAGGCGTACTAGTACGTCAATAACCCTGGTGCTTAAGACGTACTAGTATGTCAGAAACCCTGAAAGGGTTAAATGATGAAATATCTAGAACGTATAATGTTTTTGGAGATCTACAGTACCCTCAGTGCTTTATTTCACAAGTTTATCTTGCATCCAGAAAAATCTTTTTATACAATCTAAATATGTAGCTCTGCCACATAAAAAATTTAAGAGTTGAAAATTTGTCAAAAATAATTATAAGCATAGCATACAGATGCTGTGAAGCTAATGAAACTTAAGCTTCAGGGCTCCTGATCCTGAAGGGGCCCCCAAAGCGAGTTTAGTCCACATTGCTTAAAAATTTTGGGTGTACTGTATGAGAAGGGGTTTAAAAAAATAATAGTGTAATTGAATACAAAATAATAGTTAAAATAAAAATTAAAAGGTTATGAAAGTACAGTGGACCCTCGCCTAACGAACGCATCGCATAACGTTAAATTCGCCTAACGATACATTTTAACACTAACTTTTGCCTCGGCTAACACTAAAAAACTCGCCTAATGATATTCGTTCTCGGGTACCAATTAATATCGTTAGGCGAGGGTCCACTGTACAGTGGACCCCCGCCTTACGAACGCATTGCGTTATGTTAAATCCGCCATACGAAGCATTTGAGCGCAAAAATTTTGCCTTGCCTCACGATAAAAAACTCGCCTTATGTGATTCGTCTGGGACGCGTCCCACGTGTGGCCTCAGCGCCAGTGTTTACAAGCCAGCCAGTGTGGTCACATCTACGCATACATTCAGTGCATTTCACATTATCTCAGTGTTTTTAGTGCTTGTAACTGCAAAATAAGTCACCATGGACCCCAAGAAAGCTTCTAGTGCCATCCCTGTGGTAAAAAGGGTGAGAATTAGTATGGAATTGAAAAAAGAGATTAAGGAAATGTGTGCAGAGTGGGTTGAACTGCAGACCTTTATGGATGAAAATCACCCTGACACAGCTACTGCAAGCCGTGTTGGAAACCTGTACAATGACAATGTTATGGCCCATTTTAGGAAAGTCTTAAAGGAACGGGAGGTACAGAGTTCTATGGACAGATTTGTTGTGCGACAGATGTCCAGTGACTCTCAAGCTGGTCTTAGTGGCATTAAAAGAAAAAGGGAAGTATCCCCGGAAAAGGGCTTGCTACCTCAAGCTTTTAATGTAAGGGGATTCCCCTTCTAAACAATAACTCCTCCCATCCCATCAATTATCACCAGATCTTCAATAAAGGTAAGTGTCATGTATTCTGTTCTTAGTAGAGTAGTAATTGTGCATGTCTTCTTCAGTTTGTGTGTATTAAAATTAATATTTCATGTGGTAAAATTTTTTTTTTCATACTTTGGGGTGTCAGGAATGGATTAATTTGATTTCCATTATTTCTTATGGGGAAAATTAATTCGGCTAACGATAATTTCGGCTTACGGTGAGCTCGCAGGAATGGATTAATATCGTAAGGCGTGGGTCCACTGTATCATGTATTCTAGCTGCTGCTGGTTGCGAAGGGGCCCCCATAACAGTTCAAGCTTTAAAGGCCCCAAAAATGTAGGTCCATAACACTATCATAATATTAATGCTTAAAACAGACTGGGGTCAGTCAATAGTAAGGTATGACTTTTCTTCTTTTCAAACAATGTATAGTACGAATAAAATCTTTATACATGAAGTTGACAGAAGTTTAAATAAGTGTGTCCATAATTACAAGACAACAGATAATGACAAGTGTTTTGTCACATGTTGTGTTCTGTTGACTTAAGAAATCGTAATGACACGATTGCAAATAAACCATACCCCCGGCCGGGATTGAACCCGCGGTCATAGAGTCTCAAAACTCCAGCCCGTCGCGCTAGCCACTAGACCAGCTAGCCACAATAAGATTCATCCAACTAGGTATATTTCTACACCATAGGAAAGTTAGCACAGGCACCTCTGTGACCACAAATGCAAGTTTTTACAGACGAATCTCCAGCTAGCGTGGCCGTGACGAACTCTAGCTCAAGTCACAGAGGTGCCTGTGCTAACTTTCCTATGGTGTAGAAATATACCTAGTTGGATGAATCTTATTGTGGCTAGCTGGTCTAGTGGCTAGCGCGACGGGCTGGAGTTTTGAGACTCTATGACCGCGGGTTCAATCCCGGCCGGGGGTATGGTTTGTGTTCTGTTGTGTGTGTAACTATGGCCACAATAAAGCATACATTATAATTGCAAACGTCTTTAAATTTCTTAACTAAAGTACAGTATATAAAATTATGAATTGTGGAATCTAACCTCATTGCATCAATTCCTAACTTCAGTTTGTCAGAAGGACCTTCTAAATGTCAATGTGATAATAAATAATTGAATGAAAATTTCATCAAAGGTCAAGGAGATCAGGCCACTTTAAGCATTGATCGCTACTCTCTTCAAAGGTCAATCTAGTTGATGCTGCTGTGAGATGTAGACATTTTTTATGTCTTGCATTAAAATTAATGGAGTTTCTGTCAACAATATATGTTCCTGAATTTGGGTATGCCAGGTATTTTGTATAGCCATACACTATTTATAAAGTGAATAAACTTTCTCCCTTGAAAGATACTGTTGCTGAGAATTTGTTTAAAAATCGGTCAATAATGTGTTTATTAATATTCTGTTTTTATTTACAGATCTCTGCTACCTGTGAGACTGTAGGTTGCAATGGTTCTCAGGCTGAATTCTTCTTCAAGTGTCGAAATCATGAAACTAGTGGAGAGGATGACTCCTCAGTGGCCCTGTACCTTGTTCGTGCCAACCTTCCTGCTGTTCCTTGTTTGGCTTGTACAGACATTTCGTCCCCCGTTGTGGTGTTTGAGTGTGTTGATGCTCATGTAATGTGCCTTGATTGTTTTGTTACATTTTGTGTATCAAGACTTAATGAACGACAGTTTATCCAAGATTTAAGTCTAGGTTATACATTACCTTGTCCTATTGGTTGTCCTGATTCTCTAATTCGTGAAGTACATCACTTTAAGTTGATGGGTGACAACCATTATGAGCGATATCAACGATGGGGCACTGAGGAGGCTGTATTAGCTGCTGGTGGTGTCTTGTGTCCATATCCCGGTTGTGGCCAAGGCATCATCCCAGACCAGGACTGTCGTAGAGTTGCATGCACTGGTGGGTGTGGCTATGTTTTTTGCCGACTCTGCCTACAAGGTTATCATATAGGTGAATGTCATCCAGAGGATGGGAATGAGCTTAATGTTGTGGAAGGCAGTGGAGGGTTTAGTGTTGATCCTTCCCGGGCTGCAAGCTCTCGCTGGGATGAGGCAACATCAATGGCTATTCGTGTTACAACAAAGCCTTGTCCTAAATGCCGAACTCCTACAGAACGTGACGGTGGATGCATGCATATGGTGTGCACACGTGGTTCATGTGGCTTTCATTGGTGCTGGGTTTGTCAGACTGAATGGACACGTGAATGTATGGCAGCTCATTGGTTTGGCTAGCTAACTGATATAGAAAAAAATCAGACTTTTAATGTAAATAGGTGTAAACTAAGGTACTGTACAGTAAAAAAAAAAAAAAAAAAACTAATGCTTCCAAATTATCATCAAGGCAGGACGACACAAAAATAAGTTGATCGCTTATAGTATAAAGGTCTTTTCACAAAAGCAAAGACATCACTATTCAAATGAACCATCAGACTGCAACATCCCCACCCATCATTTAGAGAACACTCCACCTCCAGAACTCGAATCTGGCAAACTGGGTTTCCTGAAACCCTTGATAGATATTACCTTGCTCACACTTCAGCATCATCCTCTTCTTTCAACAAACCGGCCATATCCCACCAAAGCAGAGTGGCCCAAAAAGGAAAGTTTCTCTTTTTAACTTTAGTACTAATGTTTACAGGAGAAGGGGTTACTAGCCCCATGCTCCTGGCATTTTAGTTGCCTCTTACGACATGCATGGCTTACGGAGGGAAAATTCTGTTCCACTTCCCCATGGAGATAAGAGGAAATAAACAAGAACTAGTAAGAAAATAGAAGACAGCCCAGAGGGGTGTGTATGTATATGCTTGTACATCAATGTTTATTTAGTTGTAGCTGCAGTTAGAGTAAGAGCTAGATGAGACAAAAGGAAAATGGCAACAGCTAGTAAGAGAGGTGAAGGTGAGATATATGCAACTATTGGCAGAAAGGTGGGCTAATGCAAATATGAGTAGTGGGGGGTTGAAGAGGGTTGGAATAGTTTTAAAAATGCAGTATTAGAATGTGGGGCAGAAGTTTGTGGTTATAGGAGGGTGGGTGCAGGAGGAAAGAGGAGTGATTGGTGGAATGATGAAGTAAAGAGTGTGATAAAAGAGAAAAAGATAGCTTATGAAAGAAATTTTGCAGAAAATAAGAAGAAAATTTGGAGTGAGATAAACAAGTTAAGAAAACTTAGGGAACGAATGGATTTGTCAGTTAAAAACAGAGTAGGGGAGTTAATAGATGGGAAGCTGGAGGTATTGGGTAGATGGCAGGAATATTTTGAGGAACTTTTAAATGTCGATGAAGTAAGTAATTTCATGCACTGGTCAGGGGGGTATAACATCTTTTAGGAGTGAAGAAGAGCAGGATGTGAGTGTGGGGGAGGTGCGTGAGGCATTATGTAGAGCGAAAAGGGGTAAAGCAGCTGGAACTGACGGGATCATGACAGAAATGTTAAAGCAGGGGGGATATAGTGTTGAATTGGTTGGTATTTTTGTTTAATAAAGGGTGTGATAAAAGAGAAAAAGGTAGCTTATGAGAGGTTTTTACAAAGCAGAAGTGTTATAAGAAGAGCAGAGTATATGGAGAGAAAAAGAAAGGTAAAGAGAGTGGTGAGAGAGTGCAAAAGGAGAGCAGATGATAGAGTGGGAGAGGCACTGTCAAGAAATTTTAATGAAAATAAGAAAAAATTTTGGAGTGAGTTAAACAAGTTAAGAAAGCCTAGGGAAAGTATGGATTTGTCAGTTAAAAACAGAGTAGGGGAGTTAGTAGATGGGGAGATGGAGGTATTAGGTAGATGGTGAGAATATTTTGAGGAACTTTTAAATGTTAAGGAAGAAACAGAGGCAGTAATTTCATGCACTGGTCAGGGAGGTATACCGTCTTTTAGGAGTAAAGAAGAGCAGAATGTAAGTGTGGGGGAGCTACGTGAGGCATTATGTAAAATGAAAGGGGGTAAAGCAGCTGGAACTGATGGGATCATGACAGAAATGTTAAAAGCAGGGGGGGATATAGTGTTTGAGTGGTTGGTACTTTTGTTTAATGTATGAAAGAGGGGAAGGTACCTAGGGATTGGCAGAGAGCATGTATAGTCCCTTTATGTAAAGGGAAAGGGGACAAAAGAGACTGTAAAAATTATAGAGGAATAAGTTTACTGAGTATACCAGGAAAAGTGTACGGTAGGGTTATAATTGAAAGAATTAGAGGTAAGACAGAATGTAGGATTGTGGATGAGCAAGGAGGTTTCAGAGTGGGTAGGGGATGTAGGATGTAGGGGATGTAGATCAAGTGTTTACATTAAAGCATATATGTGAACAGTATTTAGATAAAGGTAGGGAAGTTTTTATTGCATTTATGGATTTAGAAAAGGCATTTGATAGAGAGGATAGAGGAGCAATGTGGCAGATGTTGCAAGTATATGGAATAGGTGGTAAGTTATTAAATGCTGTAAAGAGTTTTTATGAGGATAGTGAGGCTCAGGTTAGGGTGTGTTGAAGAGAGGGAGACTACTTCCCGGTAAAAGTAGGTCTTAGACAGGGATGTGTAATGTCACCATGGTTGTTAAATATATTTATAGATGGGGTTGTAAAGGAAGTAAATGCTAGGGTGTTCGGGAGAGGGGTGGGATTAAATTTTGGGGAATCAAATTCAAAATGGGAATTGACACAGTTACTTTTTGCTGATGATACTGTGCTTATGGGAGATTCTAAAGAAAAATTGCAAAGGTTAGTGGATGAGTTTGGGAATGTGTGTAAAGGTAGAAAGTTGAAAGTGAACATAGAAAAGAGTAAGGTGATGAGGGTGTCAAATGATTTAGATAAAGAAAAATTGGATATCAAATTGGGGAGGAGGAGTATGGAAGAAGTGAATGTTTTCAGATACTTGGGAGTTGACGTGTCGGCGGATGGATTTATGAAGGATGAGGTTAATCATAGAATTGATGAGGGAAAAAAGGTGAGTGGTGCGTTGAGGTATATGTGGAGTCAAAAAACGTTATCTATGGAGGCAAAGAAGGGAATGTATGAAAGTATTGTAGTACCAACACTCTTATATGGATGTGAAGCTTGGGTGGTAAATGCAGCAGCGAGGAGACGGTTGGAGGCAGTGGAGATGTCCTGTTTAAGGGCAATGTGTGGTGTAAATATAGCAGAAAATTCGGAGTGTGGAAATTAGGAAAAGGTGTGGAGTTAATAAAAGTATTAGTCAGAGGGCAGAAGAGGGGTTGTTGAGGTGGTTTGGTCATTTAGAGAGAATGGATCAAAGTAGAATGACATGGAAAGCATATAAATCTATAGGGGAAGGAAGGCGGGGTAGGGGTCGTCCTCGAAAGAGTTGGAGAGAGGGGGTAAAGGAGGTTTTGCGGGCAAGGGGCTTGGACTTCCAGCAAGCGTGCGTGAGCGTGTTAGATAGGAGTGAATGGAGACGAATGGTACTTGGGACCTGACGATCTGTTGGAGTGTGAGCAGGGTAATATTTAGTGAAGGGATTCAGGGAAACCGGTTATTTTCATATAGTCGGACTTGAGTTCTGGAAATGGGAAGTACAATGCCTGCACTTTAAAGGAGGGGTTTGGGATATTGGCAGTTTGGAGGGATATGTTGTGTATCTTTATATGTGTATGCTTCTAAACTGTTGTATTCTGAGCACCTCTGCAAAAACAGTGATAATGTGCGAGTGTGGTGAAAGTGTTGAATGATGATGAAAGTATTTTCTTTTTGGGGATTTTCTTTCTTTTTTTGGGTCACCCTGCCTCGGTGGGAGACGGCCGACTTATTGAAAAAAAAAAAAAAAAAATGTACGAAAGAGGAGAAGGTACCTAGGGATTGGCAGAGAGCTTGTATAGTTCCTTTATATAAAGGGAAGGGAGGACAAAAGAGATTGTAAAAAATTATAGGGAAATAAATTTTTTAAGTATACCAGGAAAAATGTACGGTTGGGTTATTATTGAGAGAATTAGAGGTAAGACAGAGAGTAGGATTGCAGATGAGCACAGAGGCTTTAGAGTGGGTAGGGGATGTGTAGATTAAGTGTTTACATTGAAGCATATATGTGAACAGTATTTAGATAAAGGTAGGGAAGTTTTCATTGCATTTATGGATTTAGAAAAGGCATATGATAGAGTGGATAGGGGAGCAATGTGGCAGATGTTGCAAGTGTGTGGAATAGGTAGTAAGTTACTGAATGCTGTAAAGAGTTTTTATGAGGATAGTGAGGCTCAGGTTAGGGTGTGTAGGAGAGAGGGAGATTACTTCCTGATAAAAGTAGGTCTTAGACAGAGATGTGTAATGTCACTATGGTTGTTTAATATATTTATAGATGGGGTTTGAAGGAGGTAAATGATAGGGTGTTGGGGGGAGGGGTGGGATTAAATTATGGGGTATCAAGTACAAAATTTGTACAATGCCTGCACTTTAAAGGAGGGGTTTGGGATATTGGCAGTTTGGAGGGATATGTTGTGTATCTTTATACGTATATGCTTCTAAACTGTTGTATTCTGAGCACCTCTGCAAAAACAGTGATAATGTGTGAGTGTGGTGAAAGTGTTGAATGATGATAAAAGTATTTTCTTTTTGGGGATTTTCTTTCTTTTTTGGGTCACCCTGCCTCGGTGGGAGACGGCCGACTTGTTGAAAAAAAAAAAAAGAACAAAATGGGAGTCGACACAGTTACTTTTTGCTGATGATACTGTGCTTATGGGAGATTCTAAAGAAAAGTTGCAAAGGTTAGTGGATGAGTTTGGGAGGGTGTGTAAAGGTAGAAAGTTGAAAGTGAACATAGATAAGAGGAAGGTGATGAGGGTATGAAACGATTTATATAAAGAAAAATTGGATAACACATTGGAGAGAGGGAGCATGGAAGAAGTGAATGTTTTTAGATATTTGGGAGTTGACGTGTCAGCGGATGGGTTTGTGAGGGATGAGGTTAACCATAGAATTGATGAAGGAAAAAAGGTGAGTGGTGCATTAAATTAAGGTATATGTGGAGACAAAAAACGTTATCTATGGAGGCAAAGAAGAGAATGCATGAAAGTATAGTGGTACCAACACTCTTATATGGGTGTGAAGCTAGGGTTGTAAATGCTGCAGCGAGGAGGTGGTTGGAGGCAGTGGAGATGTCCTTTCTAAGGTCAATGTGTGGTGTAAATATTATGCAGAAAATTCGGTGTGTGGAAATTAGGTGAAGGTGTGGAGTTAATAAAAGTATTAGTCAGAGGGCTGAAGAAGGGTTGTTGAGGCAGTTTGGTCATTTAGAGAGAATGGATAAAAGTAGAATGACATAGAGAGTGTATAAATCTGTAGGGGAAGGAAAGAGGGGTAGGGGTCATCCTCGAAAAGGTTGGAGGGAGGGGGTAAAAGAAGTTTTGTTGGCGAGGGGCTTAGATTTCCAGCAAGCGTGTGTGAGCATGTTAGATAGGAGTGAATGGAGATGAATGGTTTTTGGGACCTGATGAGCTGTTGGAGTGTGAAGGGATTCAGGGAAACCGGTTATTTTTATATAGCCAGACATGAGTACTGGAAATGGGAAGAACAATGCCTGCACTTTAAAGGAGGAGTTTGGGATATTGGCAGTTTGGAGGGATATATTATATTTCTTTATACAGTGGACCCCTGGTATTCGATGGCATCGGTATTCGATAAATCCGGTATTCGATGCATTATATCGCAAAAAATTTTCCTCGGTATTCGATTGAAAACCCGGTATTCGATACGATTCGTACGAGACCTGTTCACATGTGGCCTGAACTGCCCCTTGTGTGCCAGTGTTTACAAGCTAGCCAGTGTGCGCACATCTAAGGATACATTCGGTACATTCCATATTATCCATATTATCACTGTGTTTGGTGCTTGTTTCTGCAAAATAAGTCAACATGGGCCCCAAGAAAGCTTCTAGTGCCAACCCTGTGGTAAAAAGGGTGAGAATTAGTATGGAAATTAAGAAAGATTTTGAAGGGTTTGGGGCTAACCCTGAGAAACCTATACCAGTTGTGGAATACATTGTGCCTACTTAAAAAATTAAGGAAATGTGTGCACAGTGGATTGAAGTGCAAACCTTTATGGATGAAAATCACCCTAACACAGCTATTACAATGACAATGTTGTGGCCCATTTTAGACAAATCGTAAAGGAACGGGAGGTACAGAGCTCTATGGACAGATTTGTTGTGCGACAGAGGTCCAGTGACTCTCAAGCTGGTCCTAGTGGCATTAAAAGAAGAAGGGAAGTAACCCTGGAAAAGGACTTGCTACCTCAAGTCCTAATGGAAGGGGATTCCCCTTCTAAACACTAACACCTCTCCCCTCCTTCCATCCCATCAATCATCACCAGATCTTCATTAAAGGTAAGTGTCAATTATTTTATTGTTATTGTAATTATTCTATTGTATTAAACTTAATATTTCATGTAGTGAAATTTTTTTTTTCATATTTTGGGTGTCTTGCACGGATTAATTTGATTTTCATTATTTCTTATGAGGAAAATTGATTCGGTTTTCGATATTATCAGTATTCGATGAGCTCTCAGGAACACATTAATATCGAATACCGGGGGTCCACTGTATATGCTTCTAAATGTTGTATCTGGGTGCCTCTGCAAAGACAGTGATTATGTATGAGTGAGGTGAAAGTGTTGAATGATGATGAATGTATTTTCTTTTTGGGGATTTTCTTTCTTTTTGGGTCACCCTGCCTCGGTGGGAGACGGCTGATTTGTTGAAAAAAAAAAATGCATGTGTAGTATGACCTAAGTGTAAGTAGAAGTAGCAAGCCGTACCTGAAATTTTGCATGTTTACGAGATGGAAAAAAGACACCAGCAACCCTACCATCATGTAAAACAATTATAGGCTTTTGTTTTACACTCACTTGGCAGGAACTTCAGCAGCATATATCATATATAAAAAATCACATTTATCCACTCTTTGTGATCTAGTGTAGCTTACTTACACATGCCTGATGGATGCTCAGTCCTCTTTCTCTCAAAATCTCCTTCATCCCTCCCCCTTCCCCCAGCTCATCCTGGGACATTCCCTTCTCCTTCCATCCACTCCAGATTTATACACCCCTGTCCTGTCCTGTCTTTCTAAATGACCAAACCATTTCATAACCCCCACCCCACCCAATACCATTATATGTACTCTACTGTACATAATTATTTTTTAACAAATTTTCTCACTTTTCAAAATTTAATGTAAATTTTCTATATTCTTATGAAATGAATTGTTCTAACCTATAGTAAATCTATATCACATTATATATACAGTATATTTTGGTATTATAAAACAGTGTGGTACAGTAGTATCTGTTGTGCAAGATATATTTAATACAGTATATTTCCTAGAAGTTCAAAGAGGTTGTTATTAGAAACCTCAACATTTAAAGACCATGCCTTGCACTAGTAAGTGTTGATACCACTATATTCTGGTATGTTTCCCTCTCTTGGACTCTATGGGTAACCTTCCTTCCAGATACCTCAACACTCCACCTACCTTCTTTCCTCTCACCTGTTCTTTGGTTCACCTCTTTTATAGATGCACTTGAAAAACACACACATACTCCCAAATAGCAAAATACATTCATTCCTTCATTCTCCATCCCTCCAATCTGATATCCAGTCTTTTATTGTCTAGACTTTTTTTTTTTTGTTTTGTTTCGTCCCCTTGCTCTTTTTTTTTTCATGTTCAATTTTAATTTTTAATTTACACACCCTCCCAAACTCTACTAGTCTTTGCAACTTCTTTTCAGACTCTCCCAAAAGTACTATCATTGGCAAAGAACAATGGTGGCAACTCCCACTTTGCACCAGAGCCATTATCTTTTAATCTGGCACCTTTTCTATCAAGGAAGGTGTTATGATGAGTCTCTTGATCCAAGAAATTGTATTTATCTTTCCATTCCCCAGAGTGCCTCCCATTCCCTCAGGCACTGTATGACTCCTTTGAATTTAGCACTCTCCCCTCATAATTGTAATAATAATAAGAAAATACCACCCAGCAACACCCAGGCATTCACTTATTTATAAGCCCATCTAAAAATATATTAAACAACCATGGCGACATCTTTGTCTAAGACCTATTGTAGTTTTGCTGGAAAATATTCCCCATCAGTTGTACATACCCTAACCTGAGCCTTACTGTCTACATAAACCTCTTATTGCATGTAGTAACCTACTTGTTCTATAAATTTGCAGCATCTGCCACATTGTTTACTCCTATGTTTTTTGTAAATCCATAAATAAGTATGACAAATGGTTCTTTACTTTTACCAAAGTATTGTTCACTTGTACGTTCGATTGCGTGCAGCCAGCAGTAACAGCCTGGTTGATCAGGTTCTGATCCACCAGGAGGCCTAGTCACAGACCGGGCCGCGGGGGCGTTGACCTCCGGAACTCTCTCCAGGTAAACTCCAGGTAATGTAAACATTTGGTCTTCACATACTCTATCCTGTCTAAATCCTTATTCCTCTGCAATAATACCCCCATGTTTTTCAGTAATTCCGTTGTACACTTTATCAAGTATTTTAGTTAGGCTTATTCTCCCATAATTCATTCACATGCATGCACATAAACTACGATAAGGCTCTTAAGGGAGGGGCGAGTAGAATCATTCATTTTTTTTTTTTATCAGATTTTAACCCTTTCAGGGTCCGTCCCGTAGATCTACGGCTTTACGTTCAGGGTCCAAACCGTAGATCTACGTCATGAGCTCAGCTCACTCTGATAAACTGTGAGTGGTACATTTGGGCCTAGATATGAGAGAATACATCTATGTGGTATGTGTGCACCACATAAAACAGATCCTGCAGCACGCTGTGTATAATGAGAGAAAAAAACTGAAATCATGATTTTTCGATTAAAACAGCGACTTTGTAGTGTTTTTTCGTATGTTTTTTATAGTTGTATTTGCGATTTCTTGGTCTCATTTGATAGAATGGAAGGCATATTACAGAAATAGAGATGATTTTGATTGGTTTTAGCACTGGAAATGGCTTGAAACTGAGCTCAAAGCAGCGGAAATGTTAAATTTTTGCCGATATTCAAGAGTAAACAAACGACCTCACACATCTAATACACACCAACTGGTGGGTCTAATATACATTCACAAATATGGTGATGATATTTATACAATTATTACAGTATTGCATAACAGTAAATCTTCTATTTTTTGGTGTGAATAAAAATTCATTATGTGAATAAAAAATCAAAATGGAATTTATTTGTAAAGCCTCAAAACATAACTAATGAACAGAGGAAATGTTAGTTTAGTTCCAGGAATACCTACATTGTTTATTCTGGACCCCATTTTGAAATTGGAATATTTTGAACTTTGTGTTAAATTGGCCAAATTAACAATTTCCGATCACTTTATTTCATAGTTGAAACAGTTGACTTGGTGATTTCTTGTGCTCAATCGATAGAATAGAAGTAATACTAGTGAAATAGCTAAGAATTTGGTTGACTGGAATAATGTAATTGGCCTAAACTGGGAGTCAAAGTCAGCAAAATCGCCGATTCGTAAATATCGCTGACACATCAAAATTCGCGAGAGCATAATTTCGTCAGTTTTCCATCAAATTTTGTACTTTTTGTTTTATTACCTTCACAAAAAGATTCTCTACCATTTCATAAGAAAAAATAACAAATTTTTTTTTTGAAAATTCTTGGACACTGGGGCACCACTTCAGATTTGGGCCTTGGACCCTGAAGGGGTTAATGGGATTGTGACAATGGATTAAGCAGCTTAAAAAAACATGTAGGCTGTGTTTGTTTTGACTGTTAGCCTTCAAGTTAGATAGAAAAAAAATATTTTTGCACAATTTTATGGGTCCTAGGACTTTCCACTTTCTACTAAATTGGGAAGATGTACAGTGCTCTAGTTGACATCAGATGAAAGATAAAGGCTAGATTAATAATGACCCAGAACAGTTTAGCAATATTGTCAGTAGATTCCATTAAAAAAAATGTTGAAGTTATATATTTTTTTTTTTTTTTGAGGAGGAAAAAAATAGTTTAACAAAAAGCTGTTCACAATATGGCAAATCCTCTCTGGGTGTTTGTAGAACCACCATTCCTCAATATTGTCTGCAAAAATCATGACAATCCAATGAATACTTATTGCAGAAGATGGATTACAATGTCAATAACTTATTACTGAGTTTTTTTTTTTTGTGTGTGAAACTGTAGGGAAGTGGCGTGCCAATTTTCAGCATGCTGCATCCCTCCTACCGTCTTTACAGCTTGCTGGCTACTGAGGGACTTAGTGTCTGCTCTCCACACACTAGCCAGCACACAAGTTGCCATGTAGAGTATTTACAATGAAATAATCATAAAAATCGTAATTTTGGGAGGTAAAAAAAAACTGTTAATTGCCAAAATGTATTTTTGCTGACAGCAGAACAAAAAAAAATACATTTAATGAAAAACATATTTAGAAATATGATAGGAACAAGTTGATTACATCAAAATGTTGCCAGAATTTTGCACTATTTTTCAGGAAGAAAACATTTTTTCCATAATTTTTCAATTTTGATGTCCTGATCACTTAAAGGCTCTCTCCTCCCTTAACCCTTTCAGGGTTTCGGCCGTACTAGTACGGCTTATGAGCCAGGGTTTTTGACGTACTAGTACGCCTAAATTCTAGCGCCCTGAAATCTAGTGAGAGAAAGCTGATAGGCCTACATATGAAAGAATGGGTCTGTGGTCAGTGTGCGCGGTATAAAAAAAATCCTGCAGCACACAGTGTGCAATGAGAAAAAAAAAAACGTTGACCGTGTTTTTGGATTAAAACAGCGACTTTGCACTGCATTTTCGTATGGTATTTATTGTTGTATTTTTAGTTTTCCTGGTCTCATTTTATAGAATGGAAGACATATTACAGAAATTAAGATGATTTTGACTGGTTTTACACAGAAAACTACCTTGAAATTGCGCTCAAAGTAGCAGAAATGTTCGATTTTTACCAAAGTTCAAAAGTAAACAAATCATGCTATGCATCCAATACACGTCAACTGGTGAGTCTACTATTCTTTCACAAGTGCGCTGATGTTATTTATACCATTTCTACACCAATGCAGTAGTCTACATAACAGTAAATCTTCTATTTTTTTGTGAGAATAAAATCTCAAAGTGGAAAGCAAAAGAATGTAAGAGGGGCATGGGGACATGACTAATGAACAGAGGAAATGTTATTTTAGTGCCAGGAATGTCTTTCTTATTTATTCTGGACCCTGTTCGGAAATTGGCATCTTTTGAAATTTGTGTGAAATTGGCAAAATTGCTAAATTCTGACCACTGTATTGGATAGTTGAAATCGGTAAATGGGTGGTTTCTTGTACTCATTCGATAGAAAAAATGGAGTTCTAGTGAAATAGTTATGATTTTTGTCGACAAGTACACTGAATTGGCCGAAAATAGGGCTCAAAGTGGGCAAAATCGCCGATGCGTAAACATTGTCGAGACCACTAACTCCGCGAGAGCATAATTCCATGAGTTTTCCATCAAATTTCATACTTTTGGTGTCATTATGACCGGGAAAAGATTCTCTATCTTTTCATGAGAAAAAAACTTTTTTTTTTTTTTTGAAATTTGGCCAACCCTGAGAACAAGTCTATGAGAGGGCCTGTCGACCCTGAAAGGGTTAAAGCATGGAGAGAGGACCTAGTAGTGACCAGTGAAGAGGTGGGGCAGGGAGCTGTGAATCAACCCCTGCAACCACATAGAGGCAAGTGTACACATGCACACATACATGTATGCACATGCATGCAGAGCCACTTTCTATGACTCGACCCTTGCAACCACAGTTAGGTGAGTACATGCACACACTCACACTTTCTCTTCTTTTCTCTCTACTCCTACCAGACTTCATTTCATCTTTACCAGTGCATGAAACAACTACCGTCTTTTCGTTACGAATGCTCGAAATCTTCTCTTTCTAGTACTTCCACCGCAGCATCTAACATCTCCCTAATCCACGTTTCCTTCACTAGCTGTACAGCGTTTACCTCCCTTTAACTATCCCTTTTATATCATTCACTTTTAATTATTTTTAACCCAGTGACTCTCTTCCCTTTACTTTATTTGCCTCTTACAGAATAGCGATTCAACAATATTTTGCTTTTATTTGGTTATTTTGCACATTGTGTGGCACTGTGCACAAATTATCACATGGCACTGAGCAAATTATGTGGCACTGCACAAAATTTTTATAGTACTGCACATAAATTATACTGCAATTCACAGAAATGATCATGTGGCACTGCACACATTATCATGTGTAGTAGCAGACAAATTATGTGCTACTACACATGAATTATTGCATAACTCTACAGAAATTATGTATCACTGCACACAAATTATCATGTGGCACTGCACAAATTGTCTGGCACTGCACATATATTATGTTGTACTGCTACACACATGCTATGGCACTACTGCATGCACATGCACATGCACACACACACTTTCTCTCTGAAGATTGGCTCTGTCTTTCTCATATTTATGTTCTTAATCTAAACAAAAGAAAAGAAAATTTGATTTGATTTGTGGAGGGAAACTGTCTCGTATGGTTATTTTCAGTAGAAAAAAAAAAAGCAAGAAGAGGGAATGATAAACAACAGCATTCAGAAATATGTAACTATTAGCTACAGTACTGATGCATTTGTATATAGTGTGAAGCTGAGAAATATGAGACAAGAAATAACTAAAATAAAACTGCAGTAATACAGGACTCTTGTTGAATGAGGATTGTTAATACACTGTAAAATGGAAATTAAGACAGTATTTTGTTAACCCTATGATGGTTGCACTGATGACAAACAATGCCTTTCCTCCAATTATATGAAAAAGGCAGCAAAAGATCAGTGTAAATTGCAGTACAGTATACTCTCTCACAAATATTGTAGGTTTAGCACTTCATTTTTTATTATAATAATCCCTCACAAATATTTTAAAGATGTCCTATGTTTTTCTTTTGCAATTAGCAATTCATTGCCACTGCAATTTTCTCATCCTCAGAGCATTAGTGACTCTCTCCCTTGGCTCACTGATGCCTCTGTAATATATTAACTGCTGCCCATGGAAAGGGTAGGCTGTCTGCATTTAACCCTTAAACGGTCCAAATAGATCAACGTTCAAATTCGTAGTGCTCCAAAAGTAGCTCTACTTTTTTTTACATATTTTCAAATATAACAAAAAAAAATGTAGATAAAAGTTTTTTTTACACGTTTTCAAATGTAAAACAAAAAAGAAGATCTACATTTTTTACATACTTTCAGATGTTGAAAAAACGTATATATATGTTTGGACCGTTTAAGGGTTAAAATTCATTTGTACATTGTATTTGTTGAAACCTTTATAAAATTATCACAAAGTCTGCTATATTGCTGCTATTCTAGCAGAACATTGCGCCACAATTCCTGAATAGATTATACACCTTTGTAATCTTTTGATTACTGCCTTTAGGTTAGGTATGGTTTACATAAAGTTTTCAAGTAATATACAGCATTATAATAAAAATATATATACGGTTCTGTATAGTAAGTATAATACTGTATATGCAGAAAATGTACTGTAATATGTACCAGCTGGATATATTGTCAAGGGCAGACTGGCAGCAGAGTGATAGTGATGTACATATGTCTGTCATAAGTGACCAGTTGGTTAAGTGAAGTCACTAGAGGAGAGATTAGTGATGCATACATAGGGTGCAGTTAATACATCTTTTCTAACCTATGAATGATTACACTTGTGCCCTGCATTATTTATAAAGATATGGAACAATAACATTTAAAAATTAAAAATCTATACATCTCCCCAGGAAGCATAATTTCATACATTGTATTAACATACTTCGGCTTCACTGCATAAGTAAATTGTAGGAAAAAGTATTATAATAATTAATTCTCACTCTTATTCGTTATTGAGAAACAATTCCAAGAAATCAGTGCAAAATTTCAGAAGGTTAAAATATTCATCAAATGAATTGATGATGATGTGCTTACCTGAGTGCATTGTGTAGTGAGGCATGTACAACAGTCAGTCTGTTGTATAGAAGGGCAGAGGCCCATGGAATAGAAAAACTAATACTAAGCTAATATTTTTTGTGACTTTGAACTGCTCTGTGCTAAATTGTTAGTATTATATTTAGGGGACCTTGTGGCTTAGCGCTTCTTTTTGATTATATTTAGGGGATAGAAACCTATATGGTCATACAGTGCCTGGAGAATGGGAGGCAGTCAGGTTAGATCCAAGGCAGGGGAGGACAAGTTCAGTTATTTAGATCAAGAGTCCCTCATCAGCATGAAGGAACATCCCTTGAGGGGCTCATGTGTTAAAGCATAATAACTACACAGTTGAAAATCAGTCTTCACTAAGGACCTTCCTTAATGACTTGTGTGTTCAAGAGATTTTTAAACATAACTTCCCTTAATTGATGCCAGTGAGGGGGCTCTTGATCCAAGGAAATGGGCCTGACCTTCCCTTCCTTGGATCAAACCTGTACAGTCTGAAAAAAAGGTCTGGAAAGGGATGAATAAGACAGTTTAATGATATTTATTAGGGAATTTAGAAAATACAAAACATTAATATCCAGTCATTTAAACTTTTGATTTCATTACATTATTCATTACATTATTACATTATGGTATACAATAGGTGGCAAACTTTTTTTCATGTTTCATACCAAAGATTTTTTTGTGGAGACTGTATAATCCTCTACTGGTTTAGCACTTCCCCTCCCCTGAATATAATAAATAATTTAAATATAAATTATGAGCATATTGCCCTCCAGAAAAGTTGCCAGTATACTTAGTGATAAGACTAGTGATACACTACAAATATGACTAATGGGATCTTAAAAGCAGTAAATGTTTTAAGAAAAATGTAATGATTATCTTATCACAGTAATCTAATGTCCACATACATTTGCCAACCCTGTATCACTGATATGTTGGAGAGATTGAATAATATCAGAATTATATGTTGTTGCTGATCATTTTAATATTATAGAGAGAATTACCAACAGACCCATAGCTGTCTTCAAGAGGGAACTTAATTAATGGGTTCCTCCAAACAGTTCATGATCAGCCAGACTGTGATGCTTAGTATGTTGAACTGCCTGCTCCTAGTACCAGTAGTCTGACTGCCTAGGCTAGTAACTAGGAGGGCTGGTCATGGCAGCAGTAACCCACAGAACCATTAACAGGTAGACAGCAGGTAGGTGTTTGCAGTGAATTAACTGTGACTGTGACTGTCACTAGCAAATGAAGCACAGATGAAATAACTGATGTATCTATATGCACACCATGTGTCCTGTACAAACTTTCCTTTAAATGACTTGCTAATCTCTTGAATTTATTTAAGACATATTAAATAAGTAAATTTAAAGCTGTAAGAGGCTTTTGAGCTAATTTAAACATTTTCCAAAGAATACATATTGTCTGGCAGCTGTCACTTGATTGTAATGAGGCAACACTCAATGACTCAGGAGAGCTTAGTGTTTTGTGAGAGTAATGAGTGTAATGAGCAGTTAGTGGAGTTATGTTCTTGGCAATTTTTGATCTTTAATTTTGTTCAGTGGCTTACCATTAATGAGGTTGCAGTGTTGATTTTGTTACGAACATAGCCAGTTGGTTCCTGGGTTATAGTGCTTTTCGTAGCAAACTAACAAACTTAGCACGTCTAGGGGTCTTCACTTGTAGAGGAAAAGGAATTTTTTTAGTTTCTATTTAATTTATTAATAACCGTAATAACCACTTAAATCAACTTTCTCATATTTTGCACTATGAGTAGAACACTTGTCCCACTCCTCATTAAAATATCACAGTACTAGGTTGAGTATTTACAAATGGCTTTGAGTGAGTCAGGAAATATCAGTACAGTGGACCCCCGGTTAACGATATTTTTTCACTCCAGAAGTATGTTCAGGTGCCAGTACTGACCGAATTTGTTCCCATAAGGAATATTGTGAAGTAGATTAGTCCATTTCAGACCCCCAAACATACACATACAAATGCACTTACATAAATACACTTACATAATTGGTCGCATTCGGAGGTGATCGTTATGCGGGGGTCCACTGTATATGTACATGCACAGGCATTGCTTAAAAACTCGAACACCACATTGATAGTGCTCTTACATAAAGTTCACTCTGCAATAAGCCCTCTTACAACACCGAGGCTTGCTTACTTGGTTTCACTTTCTCTTAGAGCTTCTCAACCACCTTCTCCAACCGAGAAAAGCCTTAGCAATGAGTTTACGAAAATTCCTGGTATTTTCTAGGGAAGCGAATGGTGGTTTAGAGGTGGATATTTCCCTAGACCCTTCCTGGCCCAGAGGAAGGTATGAACTGAACAAAGTAAGGCTTTACCAGCCAACTTTGACTCGGTTGGAGCAGGGGTTGAGCAGCTCAAAACACCTACTGGTGCTTGGCCAGGTCGCACCAGCAGTTTAGACTAAATAACCTATCTATGTACAAAGCTTAGTAATACGACCAGATAACATTATAAAGCCGAGTAAATCCATTTTAGCTACTAATGGAATTACTCCTGAATATAATATTAAGTGAAATAGCAAAAATAACATGTAAAAGTATACCATTGCGATAATAACAAGTAGAAACTGTCTACTTAAAATGGACAAAAGGGTGTAACAATTTACTCTTGTTGTTTGTTACTGGCATATAAAAAAATTAGACTTCAAGACTGGAAAATATTTTTATTTTAAAGGCAGTGAAGGAATTGGACTTGTCCTCCCCTTCCTTGGATTGAGCCTTAATGCTTCCCATATTCCAAGCAGTGTGACCTTAATGGATTATTGCTCTTCACCTAAATGTAATAATGAAGTTAAAATAAAACCAACTACCAACAGGGTGAATACTCTACATATACAATTTTTTTATTTAACATACTGGCTGTCTCCCATTGAGGTAAGGTGATCCTCTTTATCAGGTCACCCTATCTTAGTGGGAGACTGCCGGTGTATTAAAAAAATCAAAGTCAATGCATATGTATATCTACTAAATTTAATCCAGTATTGCAAATGCAGTACAGATACATATTTCTAAACCTTTTTTAATTGCACATTTGATATGATGGAGTATATTACACTTGTTTTTGCACCTAAAGTTGAAGATGTCAACAGGGGCTGTTGATTCAAGGAATTAGACCTTCCCTCTCTTTCCTTGGATTAATCCTGATTGTATCCCATTACCCAGACACTGTATGGCCCCATTAGATTTAGCATCTCTCCATAAATATAATAACCTCCCTTGAAGTACCCACTGCTTTTAAGGCAGATCATGGGATCTTGGTGTATGAAACCTTAAGAGTTTTGAGAAGCAAGCCAAATGCTTTCACTGTTGCAATAACTCACCGAAAATCGGTTTGAAGGTCATAATATATTTAATTAACCCTTTGACTGTCAGTCACGTGAAACTACATCATTAATGTGAGGGTCAGTCACGGAGACCTACATCATGAGCTCAGCTTGCTCAGCAGCACTGTATGACCCTTGTGGGTTTAGCTCTTACTTTTGATCATCATAATCAACTCACTTAAATAAGCGGTAAGCAGTAAATTTTGGCCTAGATATGAGAGAATGGGTCTGTGTAGTGAGAATGCACAATATTAAAAAAGAAAATCCTGCCTCATGCAGTGCATGATGTAAAAAGCAAAACTTTGACCTTGTGTTTGGTTTAAAATTACGACTTTGAGGGGTTTTCTAGGATAGTTTCATGATTGTATTGGCAGTTTCTTTGTATTATTTGATAGAATGAAAGACATTTTATTGAAATAGAGATGATTTTAGTTGATTCCATGACTGGAAGTTGCTTGAAATCAGCCACAAAGTAGCAGAAATATTAGATTTTTTGCCAATATTCCTGAGGATGGGTAAGGTCCTCCCCTCCCTACACCTCTTCCTACCCGGTGTGTTTTATGGTTTTTTTGCTAGGTGTGATTCAGTTATTGGGATGCCATAAATCATGGTAAAGCATTTTTTGTTATATTTTATTATCCAAGAAATAGGATACATCTTTGATGTTTTTTTGTGATATCAAAACTGAAGGCAAGTGTAATATAGCAGAGGCCTTAGAATTGTTTTTGCAAAGAGAAAAATTTTTAGTGTTTGGAATGTGTAGTGTTTATTTTGGACTCTTAATTTTTTGCATAAAATTTGCCAAATTACCGAATTCTGTGCACTTTTAGGAAAATTTTCAGATTAATAGATGTTTTCTTGTACTCAACTGATAGAATCTAAGGTATACTAGCAAAATAGCTAAGAATTTGGTCAGATTGAACAATGACATGAGTTTAAAATAAGCCTCAGTCGGTGAAATCACCAATGAGCAAAATGTGCCTAGCTGCAGCTGACTGCTAACTTTGCGCCTACTTAATTCCGTAACTTTTCCATCAAATTTCGTATTTTTAGTGTCAGTACCTTCAGGAAAAAGATTCTCATTTCAGTTTTTTTTTTTTAATGTGGTCACTGAACACTTTTAATTTTGTAGGTCTGGACAGTGAAAGGATTGAATAATTAGAGTAGGCTGACCTATGATTAGTAAGATTATGCTAAATTATATTAAATTAATTTTAGAAAGGTTAGGCAAAGCATCTATGCTTATTTTTACCCTGAATGAAAAAATCATTTCTACCACAAAAATCTGTTTATCAGTAAGAATTTTTTTAAAAACTATTTCTAAGGCAGGTTGGCTTGTCTGACTGGCCAGCTAAGCTGCATGACAATTTGACAAATTTAATATATATTCCCCAACCAAAAATATAAAATTATTTAGAAAACATAGTAATCCAAGTGGTGTTAGCCTAATTGTATTTTGAATACAGTAAATTGTTAATAAACATTGAAACAGACTTCCCTAAGATTTGTCAAGCCAGATCGGAGACAGTTATGGAGGTCACTCTAAGAGGCACGTAAGTATCCCCGTCTTTTAATAACGTTTATTTTTCCACTATAATCTACTTTGTCCATAATTACTGTCACATTTGCTTTGTCTGTTTCGTAAGGTGAAGTCCAGGATTTTTCCTTAATTCATGGTATAACTTAACAAATCTTTGAGAACAATTGTGTTGTTATACCATGAATAAGGAAAGATCCTAGACATCATCTTACGAAACAGACAAACCAGATGCGATAGTAATAATGGAAAAGGTAGATTATAGTGGGAAAACGAACATGTTATTAGAAGATGGGGGAACTGACGTGTCACATTAAACTCTTGATTCGGAATTCAGGTTAAGTCTTCTCTTCAAATGCAATATTGTACTGCACTCAGGAATAAGAGAGAATACTGCAAATTTGCTTGGTGCGATATTTTTAATTTATTAAAATATTTTTAATTTATTAAAATCTGTGATAATGTTCAAAATATCAGTAACAAGCCTCCTATTTGCATGTACAGTGGACCCCCGAGTTTTGGCAGCCTCGACTTTCACAAAATTTGACCTTGGGCGAGTTTTTTTTTTGAAAAATTTGGTCTCGAGTTTCGTGAAAAAACTCGTGTTTTGGCGACCGTCCGGTACCCGTCTGCCTGTCACCGCGCACACAGAGCCAGTCTCCCACGCCATTCACGCTTAGTGTGCCATTGTTTACCAACACGTGACCATCACCCCGCAGATTCATACAATACATTTCATAATAATCTATTGTTTTTTGTGCTTGCAACTGCTAAATAAGTCATCATGGACCCAAGGAAAGCTAGTGCAAGCCCTTTGGTAAATAAAGTGAGTGATGAGGATGTGGAAGAGTTGGTGGAGGACCACAGGGAAGAGCTAACTGACGAACTGCAAGAGCTTCAACTGGAACAGCATCAGACCAGCTTCAGAGGAGGAGGAAGAGGGTGTGGATGAGGTACCTTCTTCAGTGATTAAGGACATGTGTGGAATGTGGAATGAGTTGCAAAGTTTTGTTGAAAAGTATCACCCTGACCAAGCTGAAACAAGCCGTATCTGCAACATATACAATGACAGTGTTGTGTTCCACTTCAGGGAAATCTTAAATAAATGCCAGAAAAAGACCTCTCTGGATAGATATTTTGTGCGCCAGGGGTCCAGTGACTCTCATGTTGTTTCCAGTGGCATTAAAAGAAGAAGGGAAGTAACCCCAGATAAGGACTTGCTACCTAAAGTCCTAATGGAAGGAGATTCTCCTTCCAAACAATAGTGTACACCTTCCTCTTATCACCTCCTCCCATCTTCCATCCACCCAGAAGTCTTCAGTAAAGGTAAGTGTAATGTTGTTATTATTTACTTTAAATGCATGTACTTGATTTCTGATTGTTTTCATTATGTAAATCTTTATTTAATTTGAAAAAAATATTTTAATATTTTTGGGTGTCTAGAACGGATTAATTTTATTTTCATTATTTCTTATGGGGAAAATAGTTTCGAGTTTAGTGAATTTTGACCTTCGGCGGGCTCTCTGGAACGGATTAATCACGAAACTCGGGGGGGGGGGGGGGGTCCACTGTACTTGATATTCTTTTAAAATGCCATGTTAGAAAGATTTCATTTTTTTTTTTTTTTTTTTTTTTTACACCAAAGCCAACATTGTGCACAACATTTCACATGAAGACATACCGTTTTCATAATTTATTAGTGCTTTATTAAAATTCATTATAATTTCCACAAAGTTTCTTTTTTGGCAGAATTTTGCTGTATTTTACAATGCCTGTAATTATTGTAAACTGTTTTTTTTTCATATTGAAATGCTATGCATTTTCAGTACTGTATTACAGTACTATACATAATATGGAGACAGGAATTATGTATGTCAAGTTACTCGGCAGAAATATTAAATTAATATCAAGTGTCATATTTCATTTTTATTTAAAAATTGGATATGTGCAATAAATAGCATATATATTTTTTTATCTTGGCAACTGTGTTATTACCCTTTCATATAGTACCAGTAAGAAAACCAGAAATGTTAAATCTGATAACCCACGTGTACCCATTTTCACAACATGCTCACATGTGTCTGCTGTACTGTATACTGAAGTACCTCTTTCAAGACCAGTCCCCTCAAGGGAGGTTCCTTGACGCTGGTGAAGGGCTCTTGAACTAGGGAATCGGATCTGTGCTCCAGTTCCCTGAATTAAGCCTGAATGCCTTCCATCCCTCCCCCCACCCCACAGGCACTGTATAATCCTATGGGTTTAGTGCTCCCCATTATTATAATAATTTCAAGACCAGTAAAACTGTGCAAAACAAACCATTACTTGGACTTTTTTGCTCTAACAAGAACTTTATCAAATTGTTCCTCTTAAAGGGGGGCTCCTTGTTGTGGTGAAGAGGCGCTTGGTCTGAGGAATTAGACCTGTCAGTCTCCTTCCTCAGACCGAACCTAATTACCCCCCAATCCCCCCTTCCCTATCCCATCCTCCCCTTTTTCCTTTCCTCCTCCTCCCCACCCCTCCCTTTTGCCCTTTTGGCCTTTGGGATTTTTTCCCACAGGCACGCTAGTTCCTAGGTAGGGGAAAGGGTATCGGGGTCCATCCCATTCCGTTGAGGTTCTTGGCTGTGGCGTAGTTTGCCGTGGAATCTGGATTGCCTGGGGATGTCCCGATCCCTCTCTGGTATCCCGGAGGGTGGCTTTGGGTGTCTCTCGGGCGACAGGTGTATCTCTGGAAGCCACCTTTCGGATTCCGGGGGTGGTGGCCGAAGGAGGTATGCTTTGTGGCAGATATCCTGCCGCTCTCTCTTTTGTCCACCGAGGTAGCTCGGCAAATGTGAGGTTGCTATCCCGGATTGCTGATTTACTGGCATGATGGGTAGGGTATGGCACGGGTTCCATGCTGCATCTGCGCTACTTGCAGTGCTGAGGCCCTCTTGGGCGCGGAGGGAGATTTCTGGCCCTTTCATTCCTCCTAGGAACTATCCCTCCCCGGTCCCCCCTTTTCTTTATTCTTTTTTCTTTTTTATTTTCTTTTCTTTCTTTTTTTTTCTTAAAAACAAGAAAGAAGTAACCTAACCATGGCAGCCCTAGTCCATGAACCTGCTACCCCCGGGCCCCTTCTTGATACTGCACCCCGTTCTGGCCCCACCTCGTCTTTGGACCACTCTTCGGACACTCCTCATGCCTCTGTACCTCTTGCCGGTGCTGTTTCCTCACCCACTTCAGGTACTGAGGTTTCGACTGACTCCTTCGATTTATCTGACCTCCGCTCCGGACCAACTATGGTCCCACCCTAAACCCCAAACGACAATTCCCTGTGATAACTTCTCCCTTTTTCTTGCTTCTCAGAAAAGATCGAATGTCCTGCATCCCTTTCCACACTCATTTTTTTTTTTTTCCAAAATGCACCAAGGGACAAAATTTTTTCCCTTTAAAACGACGGACTTCCTCTACTCCCATCTTTCCCAACCAGGTACGTATTGGCAAGGCCTCCTACGCCATTTTTGGGTAAAGATATTCTTTTCATCCCTTTTAAACCCTTTCGGGGTCCGTCCCGTAATCTAGGGCTTTTCAGTGATGTCCCAAACGTAGACTACACCAAAATTTTAATGCGTAAAATTTTAAACGCAAAAAAGCGCTTGGGCCTACTGGAGAGAAGGGGTCGCGCCGTGGGTGTCCCCGTAAACAAAAAATCTAGGGCCTGATAGCATTTTTTGGGAACCCCGGCTCATCCCCTGTTCCCCATGCCTCGTCGCAAGTCGCTCTCACCCCCGGAAAATTGGGGACTCTCCTCTTCCTGTTGTAGTTCGACACTGATGGAAGGGGAAAAATAAAGACAAATTCTACGGCTTTGATAAATTTTAGTGACCAAAAAATGACCGGGAATGATAATAGTCGAAAACCCCACGATCCTCGCCCTTCACCTCTGGTGGGCACCTCGGACTCACGGTGGGTGTTCCAAAAAGAAAAGAAAAAACTAATATTTTCCCGGGGCCTGGCCCTCTACTTCAGTAATGACGATATTCTGAGGGGTTTTGGATTTTTTGCGCTCGACGTTCACCCCGAGTAGTGAAAGCGGGGAAAAATTTTTCACCGTGAAGCGTCGGTATGTTCGCTCCCGCATGCGCTCGGTAGTGTACCCTATGCTTGCCCAGGGGACGGAGTACACCCCGGGCCCCCAAAACACCCGTTTTAGTAGTGATAGTGAGGTTTGGGCTACATTGGGCAGGGATGGGCCCAGGCACAGGGGAGGGTGTTAGGGGGGCTGGTGGGGGTAGTGGCACCGCCATGCGTGATCACTGTGCCACGGGGGGCCCCACGCTGCGGGATTCGTCATTAAAGGGACAAAGCAGCGTCACCCACCAGCCCGCCCAACCCCCCCGTACAACCACCCTTTGTGTCCAGATTCCTACGCCAAACCGTATCTGGGATTGGGCACAAATCCCAATTTTTTTCCCCAGCCCTCCCCATTTTGAACTCTAAAAGTGGAATTCTACCTACCGTCCCCCTTGGAACACGGCCCAAAATGAACGGGAATTCTTTAAATTTATTTTTGACCAGCCATTGGGAAATTTATTGTGGGGGAAATAATAAGTATTTTTCAGTACCCCAGGGCAAATACGTCTTATCACCAAGCAAGATTTACACAGGTGGAAAGAGACGATGTTGCAAATGTATTTGCTTTTGCAACAAAAATGTTATGCCTCACGTTTATAAGCATAATATAAAACATACGGGCCCAGAGGGCTAATTTTACCCCATCCTTCGTGAAATAATCCCATGAACATTTTTATCTTACTGTTACGTATGTTGCACTTCTCGACAAAACCCGGGCCGACAGAGTGACAGGTTAATAAGATTAAAATGTTTTCATGTTCTCAAAAAAAAGTTTAATATACTTTTATCCATTCAAGAATCTTGTAATTACGAGTCTTTGTTTTTTTCAAAGGTAAAACTGTCATTCAAGCAGTATATACCAGCAAGAGGGAACCCCTTTGGTTTAAAAATTTTGTACTCTGTGATTTTACAGTGGCCTGGTGTTGGATATTGTTGTATACACGGGTATAAAACAATAAAAATACCAAGATTTTTTTGGGTAATCAGGTGCGTGTGAAAAACTGATGCACCTTATTTGGTAAGGGCCAACATTATTTAAAAGATAAAAGGGACACAAGCCTTCCATGATTTTATGCGAGGAACAAGACAGATTGTGTGCACAGTGCGTTCAATCGTAAACAAAAGCCCAGCTCAACGCAGGTGTTCGTGGTGATGACGGCAGGGGTTTACTGCCAAATGAAAAATCATGATTACGGGGGCAGACAAACGGATGTCCATTGTTGACAAACCCTTCACCGTAATGAAATGCAAGACAGTGGCAAAGTTTATCGAGGACAATGAACGTATTCGAAAACCAGTGTCAGGGTTGATTAACACAAAACATGCGTTTGGGTTTAAAGTGTGACATGCGATTTGGTTTTGTTGACTGGTTTGTAAGAGTTACAATGGTACATGAAATTTTCCCACTCTGGACATTTCAATGCTGATGCTATAATATGACCCAAAAACACTGGTAAAACCAAAACCCATGTGAATTTTTTTTGCTGTTGTCAGACAACTCATAATGAAGTCCAGGTAAAAAACACCTGCAATACAACATGGTCCCGAATTATCACAATATACCCAAGCTTTGGGGAGGTGGTGTCATTTCTAAAACAGCTTCCTTCACTAAAAAAAATTTGCTCAGAAGAGATGCATTTTCTGTGCACAAACAAAAAGACGGCAACAAAGACGCAAAGACACTCGGTTTTTTTTTGAGGAATGTAAAGGTGCCTCTGTGCCGGTGCTTGTTCAAGGGGTTCCACAAACTCCCAGTTCTAAAACCATGTCCCAAGGGGGCAGTAAACAACAGCAAAGAACTACAGACCAATAGATTTTTCCTTATTAAAAACTTGAAAATCCCCCAAAGCGATCCCCCCATCCCCCACCCTTCCCCCCAGGGCAACTGGTTTAGGGTCCTCCTGCTGTTAATATATCACTCACAAAACCTAAAACTTTAAACAAAAGAATAATTAAAAATAACAGACTGAAAAGCCTTCGCAATGTACCAGGCTAATAGCGCACAAAAAAAGCGGTAAAAATAAAAGGAAAAATTCGGTCGATGGAAAAAAAAACCCAAATTTTTCATAACAAACACAAAGAAAAGAGAAAGTCCAGGCAGCTACGGGGGAAAACTCTGTTCCACAAGGGACAATCTAGCTCCCATTTGTTCTCCCCTCATACCCGACTAGGCAAGGATGTCAGCCACAAAACCCGTGTTTTCCTTTGCAGATGAACCCGAATCTGCTGAAGTGTCTTCCATTGCAGACACTGAAAGGGCCCCAGGCGGACATCAAACCAAATCTTTCAGTGGGCTGCAGAAAACAATATGAAGTTCAACGATGAGAAATTTCAATTACTCATATGGTAAACATGAGGAAATTAAATCTTCATCAGAGTACAAAACAAATTCTGGCCACAAAATAGAGCAAAACACCAACGTCAAAGACCGGGGAGTGATTATGTCGGAGGATCTCACCTTCAAGGACCAAAAACTTTTGTATCAATCGATCTGCTAGAAAAATGACAGGATGGATAATGAGAACCTTCAAAACTAGGGAGGCCAAGCCCATGATGACACTCTTGGGTTTCATTGTTCTATCTAGGCTGGAATATTGCTGCACTCTAACAGCACCTTTCAAGCAGGTGAAATTGCCAAACCCAGAAAATGTACAGAGAACTTTCACGGCGCGCATAACGGAGATAAAACACCTCAATTACTGGGAGCGCTTGAGGTTTTAAACCTGTATTTCCCTGGAACGCAGGGGGGAGAGATACATGATTATATACACCTGGAAAATCCTAGAGGGACTAGTACCGAACTTGCACACGAAAATCACTCATACGAAAGCAAAAGATTTGCAGACGATGCACCATCCCCCAAT